ATCACCTTCTGCTTACCTTGGCTTCCAAGTTCTCAACAATGGTATTATCCAGTTAGGCTGATTAGCCTCAACACTCCCCTTAATCTTAATCTTAAGCATTGGAATTTCAGGATATTTAATGTGGTAGGAAATGGTTTCTTTTCTGCGAGCATATAGGCATATAGATTTTTTTTTGCAAAATGCACACAAAAGATATCACCCAGTGCATAACACTCGACATATCCTGGGTTCCTCAGGGAGCCCTGTGCTCTCCTTTGAGAGAGGTAGAGGATCTCAAGCTTTGGTTCAGCCTCCTTGCCTTCAACAGGTGTTGCTTTTTGCCTCCTCTGCAGGCCTCTGTACGTCACTGTGGTGTACCGAGGAAAATGCTCCCATTGCATGCGCATCGGTGTGGCTGTGCCATTATCTGGGACAGTGGCCAGGCTGAGGGAAGCTGTGTCCCGAGAAACCAAAATCCCCACCAAACAGGTAAGCATGTTTTGCTGGGGGGGGGCAGGATTGGCTCTCACCATTGAACTGCACTGGATGAATGCCACATGCTTGCTCAATGAATGTCACATGTTTTCTCGCTGGATGGATGCCACATGCTTGACCATTGGAAGTGATAGAAAAAGAGGCTAGGGATAGGGATCTTGGTAGATTTTTATTCTGGACAGGAATGAATAATTGTACCATGTTTCTCCTTAGAATGAAAAAGTTCACAGATTGGGACTTATTTGCTTAAAAAACAAAACAACAACACACATGTGTGGGTTGGGGGATTTCAATGTAGAAAGCAGTATTTTTTGCACATAAATCTTATTTTCTGTGCAAAAACCTCCACGTGATTTCCACAATGCAAATATGTCACAAATTATAGTCCCCCTAGTATTCTATTATTATTATTATTGGTCTCTCCTTCAAATATTTTTAAATATCCCATCTAGGAATGGGACATTTTTGTTTAGAAAAAAAGGGAGGCGGGGGTTGAGAGGGACCAAATGTGGGCCATTAGGATGATGGCCTAGATCAGGCGTTGGATCTGATTCAGCAGCACTGCTCATACATTAATCCTGGCACTCCAAATTAAGGAGTAGCTGGGACAGACATCTTCCTGAGCTCCCAGAGACTTGGGGATCACTAGGAGAAAACCCTTGGTTTGATAAGCTTCAGGGCATCTGTTTTTGTTAATTTAATCACAGCTCTGTGTGTCTCTGTGTTGCATTGTATTGAGCTTGCACGTCCCAGCTGCTTGGATGAGGCAAAATTGCCACATGTGGCCAGGTTGACACCCTCTGGTCTTCCCCAGATTGTGCTTACAGAGATGTACTATGACGGGTTCCACCGCTCTTTCTCTGACTTGGATGACCTCGACACGGTGCAAGAGAGCGACTGTATCTTTGCCTTCGAGACCCCAGAGATCTTCCGTCCTGAAGGGATCCTAAGCCAGAGGGGTAAGCACAGTGTGTGTGTGTGTGTGTGTGTGTGTGTGTGTGTGTGTGTGTAGGGGAGGCAACTGCATGGAGGTTTGCTGCCTGTGCTCTAGGGAATTCTGGGATGGGTTGTCCTCTGGTCTCCAGATGCCCATGCTGCACAGAGGTGTTTGAGAAAGGGAAGAAGGGATCTTGTGACTTGATACTTGCTCTTCCCCTCTCCTCTCCTTCCCCTGTTCCTTTAAGGCTTTTCTGTTCAGCATAGATTAGGGAAACCCAACACCTCCAAACCACAGATGTCTGCACCTACCATGTTGTTGGGTTGCTGCTTCTTTCATTGGATGACTCCCTAAGGTTGTCTTTAGTGGATGTTGGCCATAAAGTCTCTTCTTCACTCTCTTCCAGGAATCCATGTGAACAGTAACCTGAACCACTTGAAGTATGGCATCGACCATCAGCTGGCATCTCCCTATACTCAGGGGAATCTGGAAAACTCCAATATGAGGGCGGTGGCAGTGGCAGCGGCAGCAAGCAGCAAGATTGTAGTGTTGGTGTGTAACAGAGCATGCACTGGACAGCAGGGGAAGAGGTAACCACTCTATTAGGAACACTGCCTCGATCTAATTATACTTCAGAAGGTTTTTAGGAAGGTGGTATGATTTCATAAAATCGTAAGAGCTGGAAGGGACATCAAGAGCCATCCAGTCCAAACCCTGCCATGCAGGAATACACAACTAAAGGACTCCCCAAAAGTGCCCATCTAAACACCCTATAAGGTAGTCTGCTCCACACTCAAACTGTTTTTATAGTAAGGAACATCTTCTACATTTTTAGGTGGAATCTATTTTCTTGTAATTTGAATTAATTGGTTTGTGTTCTAGTCCCTGGAGAAAACTGTCACATCTTCTGTACCAGTGGTTCTCACAACTTGGGTCCTCCAGATGTTTGAAACACAGCTCCCAGAATTCCTTATCACCTGGCCATGCAGTCTGGGACTTCTGGGAGTCCCTACACATCTGGAGGACTAGAGGCTGAGAAACACAGCCCCCTACATGATATCCCTTCATATATACAAAGACGGCTCTCATCATGTTGCCTCTTAGTCTTCTCTTCTCCAGGATGAACACACCCAGCTCCCTAAGCCATTCCTCATAGAGCCTGGTGGTTTTCAGACCTTGGATCATCTTGGTTGCCCTTCTCTGATCACATTTCAGCTTTTCAATATCCTTCTTGAATTGTGGTGCCCAGAACTGGACACAGATAAGGTGAGGTCTGCTGAATAGAGCAGAATAGAGTGGCACTGCTACTTCCCTCAGTCTGTTGTTGAAGCCTAGAACCCCACTGGCTTTTTTGGCTGCTCCATTACAGAGTTGACCTGAGCTTAGCTTGTGGTCTACTAAGAGCCCTTCATCCTTTTCACATCTACTGCTTTCAAGCCAGGTGTCACCCATATTTGCACATTTCATTCTTCCTGCTTAGATATAGTACCTTGCATTTCTTCATGTTGAAATTCATTTTGTTAGGTTTGACTCAGCTGTCCAACCTGTCAAGGTTATTTTGAATTCTGATCCTGCCCTCTGAGGTATTAGCTCCTCCCTCTAATTTGGTGCCTTTTGCAAATTTGATAAGTACGCCCTCTGTTCCATCATCCAAGTAACTGATAAGGATGTGGAACAATGCCAGGCCCAGGGCAGCACCCTGAGGCACCTCACCTGTCACTTCATTCATGGGTGAAGAGGAGAGCAGTGCAGGGACTTTGGTGGCAATTGTATCATGGCCTTTTTATACTATTTGATATATTTTTATATTTCTTTCTCTTTTTCTGTTTTCTTTCAAACTGCTTTAGGTTGTTTTTTAAAAAGCAGTCTTTTAATGGAACAGAACAGAACAAGTTTTATTGATTAGTCGTCTGACCGTATCAACAATAGAATACCGTATTTTAAATACAAAATACAAATACAAAATACAGCATATCAAAATTCAAACAAATAGTCTTTTAATGGACCAAAAGCTGAATCACAAACAAGACCAGAAATGCATTCCTATTCTAATAAGAAGTTAAGAGTGAAGGATGTTAGGTGCACTGTTCTGGTGGTCAGTAGAAAGGCCACTGAGCTTTGTAAGAATATGAACCTTAGTGGCTCATAATGTCTGTCTTGAATGTGAAGTGGGCATTATGACCCTTCCAGGGGCTTCTCTGGTTCAGAGTTTAAACCAGTCCAAAGATTGCTGTCCCTTCCTGCTGATGTTCTTGGTGATGAGAAGCAAGATCTCCTCTCCATTAGTGCCTTGGCAGTGAGCCCAGGGCCTGGATTCCAGGAAAGGCAGACTCTTTGCTGGGGGGGGGGGGGG